GAATCTAAAAATTATGCAAGCCAATGTTGTAGACTGAATTCAAATATTTTGCCCAAATCTGTATCATGAACTACTAACTAAATATAGTCACAATATTCATGAGATTGCCCTGTTCTATGAATAAGTCGCATTCAATGTTTAAAAGTGGGCATTTGGTTTTATATATAGATACACACGTATATGTGTGCATCTATCTATCTATCTATCTATCTATATATGTATATATGCATATATGTGTACATATAAAAGTTATGCTATATAATAATTATATAATATGTAATATAGTAAATATATATAATTTCACTTTGTTGTAATGAATTAGTTTCAACTAGGAGTAACTGAGAAGTATGCAAAGACTGTATAACTTCCTTATTAATGAACCCCAGAGCAGCCTTTTGGAATAGAATTAACGCTTCCCTGAGAAGACTTTCCCAATAATTCATAGTTCATCAAGTTTTCAACTTCCCACTTCTAGGATCTATTGGTCTCCATTAAGGCTCTGCCCATATTTACTTTTTGTTTAAAAAATAAAACAAAGAGCCCAGCAAAGTTACTGTCCTACCAGCAGGCTATCCTTTACAACACCAATCATAATTTCAGCTCAATTCTTAACATTAAGAAATGCATCCAGTTTGACCAAGAAGCCTGCTAAGCACAACCCAGATGTTTTTTTATCCAGCTGCACCTCTCTTCGCCTTTAAAAGACTTTGGCTTTGTCCCCATGCAGGGAGTAGCATGTGCTTATATTTTCAGACAGCATTTGACAAAGTTCCACATCAGAGATTAAGGTCTTGGTACAGAGATTGAGGTCTAAGGAAAGGAGGAAAACAGAATGGACATAAATGTACATAAAATGGATTGAATGTTGGCTAAAGGGCAGATGAGGGTAGAGTCGTAAATAAAAACTTTTCATGCTGGCAAGAGGTAACTGGAGGGATATTATTGGATCAGTGTGAGGATCCCACTTGTTTATTAACTGTTAAGGTGAATTTGGTGATGGAATTGAAAGGAAAATGTCTAGGTCTCTAAATGTAATTAAACTGGAGAACTGGAGAAGAACAATGCAATTTTCTTTCTGGAAGAAAACAACACTGAAGTTTGTAGTGGTAAACAGGGGAGGTTTTCATAGATAAATGGAGAACATCCGTGCTTAGAGACCTGGCCTTTGGCTAACCTGTCCATATTTCTTTTTAATGTGCATCAAATTCCAATCCAGTTTAAATTTTTGATATGTTTATCAAATGTTCATGTTAACTCTGTGTCAATTAGTAAATTGTAATTAGTTTGTTAAAAGTTAATGTGAATTTTGCCAACATTAAACTATGGCTGAATTGGTCAGGCATATACCCTTGATTAATTTCTAGACTACACCTGCAATTTATGGCCACTGCCATCAGACAGCAGTGGGATCTCAATAAGTTACACAGACAGGGTGAGTAACAAAGTTCCCACCAGCATCAATAATTTAAACATGGAATAATAATTGGACCTACATCCCAGGGTTATGGTAAGAATTAAATGAGATAATATTTGTAAAGCTTTTTATACTGTGCCTGGCTTATAGTGCTTACATAAATGCTTGTTTCCTTCCTTCTATCTAGTTTATTGCTCTTTATGTTAAATATAAAGTCTTTATTAAGATAACTATATATTTGAATTCACTTCAACAACAAACCTTTGATAAGCACATGCTATCCTATGCTAGGCATTAGGAATACAAGGATAAAAACTTTACAGTTTTCTCCTCAGAAAACTTTCTGTCTAGTAACAGAATATAGACATAGACACACACACACACACACACACATATATATGATATATATACAAAATACTAGACTATGTTAGAATGTGATAAGTTCATAGGAGGAGTAACAGATGCTGTAGATTTATGGAAGAGAAAGTTTCACTCTCTAGTTCACTGGATTAGCAAAGTTTTCATGGAGGAGGAGACACCTGAGTTGGGCTTCAAAAGAAGAGAAGAATTTCACAAGATAAAAATGTATAAGGATTCTCTTACAGTCATTAGGCTGCAAGTATGCACAAGCAAAAAGGTAGGAAAGAAAGGGATGAGATCAGTAACTAGCTAGCAGTACAGTGGCACTAGAATATAGAGAAGCATGAAAGGTAATAAATCAATCATCAAGCATTTATTCAACAGTTACTGTGTGTCAGGCCCTATGTTAGACACTATATGAAGAGATGAAGGCAGGTTGGAGTCAGAAAGTGAAGGGCTTTGAATGTTAAGCTAAGGAGTAGACAGACAGATAGACAGATTGATGGAGAGATAAATGTGGGCCAGGATATGTCTCTGAGGCTGGACCCTGGCAAAAGCTAACCTATAAAAGTCAGCAGACACAGAGCACAATGCAGGTTAGTAGTGAAGAAAATGTGGAGGTAATGGTTCGTGTAAGTGGTATAACATGAAACAGGTCCCACCAACTACGTAAGGCTTGTTGTTAGCTGTTGGAGAAACAGGAGCAGAAACAAAACTGTCTCTGCCCTTCTAATGAAGTCAATGAAGATGTCTGGTCAAAGAAATGGTTTGAATAGACTTCTCCATCAGGAATGTTACTTTGGTAACTTCTTGCAGGGTGGATTTGAGAGTGAGGAAATTAAAGGCAAGGAGAACAATATGGAGTCTTATAATGATTTTGGCCAGATGCAATGAGAGTCTGAATTAGGGTATGGTGGTGAAAATAGAAAAGAGTGGATGAATTCAAGGGATATTATGGAAGTGGATTTGAAAAGATATGGCAACTGATTGGCCATGCCAGGTTAGAGGGAGAAGAGATGATCCTGAGGTTTGGGGCTCGCATGACTTGGAGAATGGTCTTGTTGGCTCGAAAGAGGAGATGAGAAAATTCCCCTCCCTCCCTTCATTGTGAAGCACAGAGAATGTGGATGTGGTATCTTGCATTGGTGAAGTTGATTTTTTTGAACCTAAGTATAAGGCCTCATATTTATTCATATTAAATTTGTAGCATAAACTGGCTTGAAAGTAGTATCTGTTTTGGTTATGTCTTCATATTCCCAGTAGTCTAGCATTGCACCTTGAACATGGTAGGTGTATTGAATTGCTCATCTTCTGTTCATGTAGCCAAGATTTTGCTAATGTCCAGCATCACAAATTTGCCATATTTCTCTGGACTCTCTTTCGTATCCCAAGAGGAAAGCTAGTAAACCACTTGGTTTGCTATTGTCAACTTATTGTTTTTAATCACTTCTAAGTAACACATTTTCATTTCAATAAAGTCTACAAAAACTCTAATGGTAAAAATTTCAGAAAGGTCAAGATGTTTGGTGATTCTGCTACTCATTACCTTAAGTAGGACCATAGGATCTCAGATTTAGAGCTTGAAAAGATTGTAAAGGCCAGTAAGTTCAAATTCCTCTTTTCATAGATACATAAACTGAGGCTGAAGTGACTTTCCCAGGTGACATAGCTAATGGTTTGAAGCAGAATCTAAACTCTGGTCTTCCTGACTTCAAGCCCAGTATTCTGTCTGTATATCACAGGTTTCAACTTTTTTTATATTACTCTCTTATCAATAAATCTTCTTGATAACATGATCCCCATATATGCATGTTTATTTGAAATGATAAATTATACACATACTAATAATTATGTATGTCATATCACTTAATTTTAAAAGAATAAGATGAAGATGAAATAATATTATGAAAAAAATTATTAGTGGCACAAAAGCCTTTTTGCCCTCACCAAAATATAAATAACAATAACTATTAGTATTAATTTGGTGTTCATTATTAATAAAATGTTATTAATTTTAATAACATTTGTAAGGGCAATGTGATCAAATATTTCATTATTTTTTAATTTGCCAATACTTTGTGCTATAGCAGTCTGAGGCACTGATTGTGAGTTGTTTATTTTGATAGCTGTTTTAAAGTTTTTCATGGATGAAAAAAACACTTTACAAGGATATGTTGATCTGAGAAGCGCATTGTTGATCATGTTTACTAAACTGATGTTCAGTTTTTCAAGTCATTCCACCAATTATACAAAGAATTTTGTTGAAATCTAACGGGCAAACTTCCTTTTTCCCTGGTGTCAATTCTTCTTGGAAAAAAATATCACAAGTTGCTATGTTTTTATATTTTTGTAACTAATGAATTAAAAACTAGTAAAGTTTATTTGGAAGATATTTGTTGAGTCATTTCAGTTGTGTCTGACTTTTCATGACCCCTTTTGAGGTTTTCTTGACAAAGATACTGGAATGGTTTGCAATTTCCTATTGCAGCTCATTTTACAGATGAGGAAATTGAGGCAAACATGGTTAAGTAACCTGCCCAGAGTCATAGTTAATAAGTGTCTGAGGTTGGATTTGAATGTATGTCTTCCTGACTCTAGAAACAGAACTCTATTGTACCACCTAGCTGCCCATTTAGAAGATGAAGTGGGTTAAAATTATGTTTCCCAGTTTTTTAAATGTGATTTAAAAAAAATCACAAGTGAGGAAAGGCTTTATTTAGGGTGGTGGGAAAAGAAATGTACAAAAGCTAGACATGTGAAATAACCTTGGTTCCTGAGTCACTTCTGACTTTCCCCTCCACAGAACAGAATCTGTGCCTATTTCTTCATAATCCTCCTGCAGAGTAGTCAAGTCCTCCAGGGCCTCAGAATTCTCTTTCTTCTATGATTCTACCCACATATGAGAATATAGAAGCCTACTTGGAATAGGTGACTTTTATTGTTTTCAGCCACCCAGAGAGGAGGGATTATGAATCCAGGAAGTGAGGGAAGTCAACAGGACATCAGATTTACCAATTAAAGGATCACTGGTAACTTAGAAGAGCTTCAGTTCAGTGAGGAGTCAAAGATGATAGTCAAGGATTCATGGCTGAAGACCTTAAAGGACAGTAGCGCCCTCGACGGAAATAAAAAATTGGGATGGCAGATGAGGAACAGGCACCTACTGATCTCTCCCAACATTCTCCTCCAACTTCAAAACAACACCTCAAAAAAAAAAATTACACCTCAAATCAAATTTGGAGCAGCAGAACCAACAAAAAGTTGAGGTGAGATTTTTTTTTAGTCTACGAAAACTTAAGAGGTAGGCAGGTGAAGTCTGTAACACAAGAGTGGAAGCCTGGAGGAGGTCTATCTGGACCCCACACACCATGGCAGCACCAGCTTACAGAGCTCCCAGCCCACCGATGGTAAGGTAGTATGTACCTGCTCAGAGATTACAGGGGACATGTTGCTGCCACTGGGTACAGCTGGTGCTGAATGACAACTCTATTGGTCACATGCAGTTGTAAGGCACAGTTCCAGCGTGGAGAGGAGTGCTTATGGTTGGTCACAAGGGAACAGGGATCAGGTCATAGTATCAAAGCAAAGAGGAAGCTAGCACATTCAGCTTCAGGGAGCCAGGGGACCTTAGCAGGTAAAGATCAGAATGTAGACCAGGGCAGCAGTGACCGCAGCTCTCCCAGGATCATACCATCTTGGAAGCATCAAAAACTTGCAGATCCCTAGAACTAGCTCTGAAAATAGCAACATGAAAAAACCTAATGAGACAGTGTCTCCTCACCCCCAGGTGAACAGAGCCCAAGTTTAAGATATAGTTTAAAGTCAAGAAATAGGCTGCGGAAATGAGCAAATAACAACAAAAAAGAACCTGACAATCAAAAGCTACTACAGTGACAGAGAAGACCAAAACATAAACAGGAGAAGATAAAAATGTGAAAACAGCTACAATAAAAGCCTCAAAGAAAAATACTGATTGAACCCAAGCCTAACAAAAATTCCTGAAAGAATTAAAGAAAGAAATGAGTGGTAGGGAAAACATTGGGGAACGAAATGAGAGTAAAGCAAGAAAATTATGAAATGAGTATTATGAAATGAGTATATGTTAGATGAACTCAATTTAATTCAACAAATATTCATTAAAAGCAGTGGGTTAAGTAGTGGGGTACAAAGATGAAACCAAATTCTGTCTTTGACCTCAAGGACCCTATAATCTAGTAGAGAAAACTAGAGAAGACCAATAAATGTAGTAGAAATAACGCAATCATGCAAAGGAGAGGTCTTCTCAAAATGATTTGAGAAATCTAAGGCAGAAGAGTTTATTTCCATTTGTAGGGTGGGAGACTCAAAGAAGAGGTCACAGAAGAGGCAGCATCTAAGTTGTACCTTAAAATGAATTGAGGGCTGGACTAGGAATTAGGCAGATCTGAGTTCAAATTCTGTCTCCAACGTTTTACTCGATATGTGACCCTGGACAATACATCTATTAAGTCATAGATAAGTCGAGAACTTGTGGAGGGAGTTCTTACATGGGTGACTAGGTGGTTCAGTGGACAGAACGGTAGGCCTGTAGTAAGGAAGACCTGAGTTCAAATCCAGCCTCAGATAACTTGCTAGCTGTGTGACCCTCAGCAGGTCATTTATCCTGTTCGCCTCAGTTTCCTCATGTGTAAAATGGGGTTAATAATAGCATCTACCTTTCAGGGTTGTGGTGAGAGCCAAACAAGATAATAATTATAAAGTTCTTAACACACAGTAGGCACTATGTAAACATTAGTTGTTTTGATTATTGTGAAGGTGATGATTATAGAACATTAGGCCTAGAGTTAGAAAGCCTTCAGTTAAAATTCAGCCTCAGACACTTTCTAACTGTGTGACCTTGGGCAAATCACTTAACCTCTGCCTGCCTTAGTTTCCTCATCTGTAAAATGGAGATAGTAAATAATAACACCTACCAAGAAGGATTGTTGTAAAAGTCAAGTGAGATAATATTTGTAAAGTTCTTAGCACAGTGGCAGGCACATAGCAGGCTCATGATAAGACATGTTTCTTTCCTTCTCATGGTGACAAAACCTCTTTTGTTGTACATCTTTGCATATTTGACTAACTAGTGCTGACAGATGGATCTTCAGATTTAGGCAACCAATTAATGACTTTTATTACATATGTAATCCATGTTTCTAAAACTCTCCTGGCACAAGGAGTTCAAATACATTTCTCACTTTAAATATTGTAGATCTTAAGCTTGGAAGGGCCTTGTATCATCTTGAATGCCTCCATCTAGGAAACCTGGGGAGATCTCCGCATGGTATCTGCAGTATGATGAAAATGGCTCACTGGTGGCAAGCACATGGTTCACAATATAACAGAAGAAAGTTTTACTGAAAGGCAGAAAACAGAAGAAAACCCCTTGAAAGCATAATCATTAGTCTCCAAGGTTTGTCCTTGGAATCATTAAAAGTAAAATACAATTCCTCTGGCTCTGGCCCTGCATGAGTCTCTCCTTTGCATGCAACTCTCTGCCAGTATCCCCGCAGGGTAATGCTCTACTGTTCTCTGTTGCTACCACAGATGACTTCAGATGTTGCTTTTTGGTGTGCTCTGTCTTCTTCAGCTGGTGAATTCTGGGCATTACTCTTTTCCTCTACAGCATGACTATCTTTCAGTAACTCAAGGCAAAACTTAAATATTCCCTGTCATTCAATAAGATTTACCAAATGGCAAGAAAATGGAAAATTTTTTGGAGTTCATTTCTGACGGGAATTAGAGATATGCATGGATGAAAAGGCATTGATTAAACATGTGACATAGTGAATAAAGAGGTGGCCTCAAAACCAAGAAGGCCCGATTTTCAGACCTGTCTCTGACATATACAAAAATATTTCTCCTGGACAAATCATTTAACCTTTGTCTGAATATTTTCAGTGTTCTAGGTTAGTGGTGTCAAACTCAAATTGGAACAGGGGCTACTAATTCGTATATAAGGATCCCTGGGGGCCCCATATTGACATGGTTTTAAAATGTAATGTTTTCTATGTTTTACTTTATTCATATTATTTTATCAAATTCCAATTACATTTTCATTTGGTTTGGCCTATTCAAGTGACTCTCTTAAAGTTGCAGAGAATATGCTGACTTGCATTGGTCTCTAGTTGCCTCTACCAGTGAAATCATGGGTCACATATTCCCATCCTATGGCTGAACTCATCATCCCTTTGACTTCCCAGATCAAAACACTCCTTCTTAGTCACTATTTCTCTTTATTCTTTGGCTCTCCCTATTAGAATGTAAGCTTCTATCACTTAACTCCAATTGCCCAGCAAAAAAAAAAAAAGGAAGCTTCTAGAGGGTAGGGATTGTCTTGGGTTTTTTTTGTTTTGCTTTGTTTTGGTTTTTGCATCCATTTTCTCTACTTTGGAATAGTGCCTGGCCCTTAACAGGGATTGGGATAGGAATATGTGACCCATGATTTCACCTAATTGATAATAATATGCTATATCAATTTTTCAGGCTTGGGTTTATTCAGGCATATGTGAAATTGTATAAGTCATTTAAACTCATTGGGCCTCAGTTTCCTCATTTCTAAGATGAGGAGCTTTGAAAGGCTGCTAGGTGGTGCAGTAGAATGTTGGACTTTAAATCTAAGTTATAATTCTGCATGAGACATTTAACTAGCTCTGTGACCTTAGGCAAGTCACCTAACCTCTCTGGACCTCAGCTTACTCCTCTATAAAATGGGAATAATTAGCACCTGCCTCACAGGATTGTTGTAGGGATAAAAAACAGAAGGTACTTTGCAAAGCTTAAAGGGCTACATAAATGCTAGCAAAATAAATAACAAAACGGGGAAATCAGAATGAATGGTCTCTGAGGCTCCTTCTAACTCTACACTGATCATCCTATCATCCTTCTAACTTGTTAAGTTTACTTGATATATAACACCACATCATGATAGTTCTGCCTATTAAAAGGATAACATCCACAGGTTTCATAGTACTATGATTATTCCCAACATTCAGAATGAGGAGCAAGTCAAAATAAACCCTCATATATGAAAAAAGAATATTTTTTTATTACTTTTAATTTTACACATACACAAACATTTTGGAATAAAAGAGAACCTGATGAATAGCTTGGCGAGACCACTCAAAACAAATAGCTAGAGAATTGCCCTTACATTGGATCCTCATGAAGAAAAACTACAAGGGACAACAGAGCCCACGGCCGAAAACTCAAACACAAAATGAAAGCTTAGTTCAATGCTTCAGATTACAATTTTTTAGGATGAAAAATCCAAGGAGAACTGCCTAGTCTACATACCGCTGGACTTGGATTCAAATCTTACCACAGATACTTCTTAGCTGTGTGATTCTAGGCAACTCCATTAAATTTTTTGAACTTCATTTTCTAAAACATGGTGGTAGTAATAGAACCTACATCACAGCGTTGTTTCAAGAATCAGATCAGAGAATGTAAAGAAAATGCTCTTTAAAGAGCCATACAAATTCAAGTTACTACCATTATTTTAGCCCTGAAAGTAAGTTTAATAATCTAATATAATAATCCTTTACAACCATGTAGTATTTTACAATTTACAAAGGACTCATATGTATTGTCTTACTTGGTCCTCACAAATCTGTGAGGTTGGTCTTGCTAATATCATCCTCATTTTCCACATGAGAAAGCTGAAGCACAGAGTAAGTGACTTGTCCAGGGTTACACAATGAGGAAGTAATGTCTTCTGCACTCAAACCATCCTCTTTATGCTTCCAAGTCCAGGGCTCTTTACACCACTGTGACCTATCTATCATAGTCAAATGACACAGAATCATAGAGGATCATAACTTAGATTCAAGGTCCGACACTCTACTGCACCACCTAGTAGCCTTCCAAAGCTCCTCATCTTAGAAATGAGGAAACTGAGGCCCAGTGCGGTTCAATGACATACAATTTCACATATGCCTGAATAAACCCAAGCCTGAAAAATTTATATAGCATACATTACATGTATAAGTCTAAGAAACTGAAATTCCAAAAACTCCATACTTAAACAAATACGCTTGAATTTTAGTAGAATCAATCACTCAGTCAGCATGCATAGAAGGAGATAGCTTAAACAGATTGGGGAACTCACTGAATTGACCAGGGATTCTCCTGATCTGCCTCCTTACATCGACAAAAGGGAAAATAAAAGCAAGACCTCCCCACCGTGTTTTTTGTTTTTGTTTTGTTTTACAACATAGAGCTGGCTGCAAGGTAAGCTGCTAGGGAACCAAGCCTCATTTTTCATCTCCAAGCCATCTTGGAGACAATGCTGCTGTTTGTTTTCCCCTTGTATGATCTACAGCGATCTGCGATCAATCTAAAAAGAATGCTAAAATGGTAAATCTGCACGTTCTTTGAAAATAAACAAACACTTTTTAGCCATGACCAGTTGCTTAAATACACTATAGATCATTATAATGAAGGCATGCATCTTTTACTAGCATACAAAGCTTCATCGAGTTGGCTTCTAAAGTTGACTGTGCCTAGGTCCTTTATTTTCATTCCCTCCCCCATTTTCTACGGTCTTGAAGCATTTCCCCTCCTTTTATGTATGTGTATATGTGTATGTATAGAGAGAGAAAGAGAGACTAAGAGAATAATATTATATTTGATTGTCCTATTTTTATCAAAAGTGATTATCCTCCCAGAATTCTGTAGATTATTCTGCTTTTGTATCAATGATTAATGTATTGTGCCTGGTTTCTTCTTGCCTGTTAATTGTTTTATACAAGTGGATGCTAATATAAGCAATAAGGTTTTATTAATGTCCCAATCAAATATATTGAAGCACATATGTGTTAAATACATGAGTACTAAATAGGTGATCTTTCTTAAAAAGAACATTAGGTTTTAAACATTGATCCATATTTATTAATTAATGTCATGTTCTAGGCTTTCCAGCCAAATGATTAGAATTTGTTTAGATTTTGTGTCATAAAACAGCTTGTTTATTAACATATAGATGTATTACCCAAGGACCTCAAGGCAACAATCTCCCACAGATACCAACTAAGTTGAACAGAGAAGGGCTTCGAATATGGCAAAGTTTTGCTCCAACTATAGCCCATTTGTGGTGATGAGTTTAAATAAAAGCTGGCTTTTGACAAGTTTCAAGAAAACTCAACTCAGATTAAATCAATCTCAGGCCATTATAAACCTACTACCGAAATGCCAGGGGAAAAACAAAAGTTTCTTTTCATTATCTTTGAGCAAAATGTCAAAATAATAATGGTTTTCCTGTAATGAGAAATGAACATGAATGATAACTTTACCTCTCTAGGTCTCAGTTTCCTTGGTTGGACTAGCTGACTGCCCAGGTAGGTCCCTTTCAGTTCTAAACCTATGATTCTATCCTTATATATCTAGTCAAAACTTTGGCTGTGTAAATTTAAAGGGACCCCACAAATTTGGATTTATCAGAATCAGATTAAATTTTGGCAAGCTGGTGGGGTTTGTAATGAGATCTGATCAAAAGCAGGCAATGCTCTTTCTTTCTCTTTATTTTCTCCCTTATGCAAAAGATCTTTTGGATCTCATCATTCTAGAATTGAAATCTCTTGGTCCTGCCCTCAAATGACACATTTCGAACCTATTTGATTATTTAAGACATGGTCTGCAGTTTCATTTCTCACGTATATCCGTTTTGTCCTCTACCACCATGAATTCAACTTGGATATGTAAGAGCTTCAGAAAACAAATGATCAGTTCAGAAAATCATGAATCTAGAGGTCATTTAATCTAATCACGTCCATTTACTGATAAGGCAACTGAGATGCAGGAAAGTTAAGGGACTTGCCCGAGATCACACAGGTAGTCAGTGCCAGAGTTAGACTGTGAACCCAAGACTTCTGGCTCCAGAGGCAATACTCTTTTATACTGTACCAAGCTTAATCCTATCTCCTGAGATACTATGGGAGTGCTTAGTACAGTGCCTGACACATAGTAAGTGCTTAATGAATGCTGAGTGATTGATTTTAGAAGTTTGCTCAAGTTCAAAGTGAAAGCTAAGCTGTTTTACTCAAACTCCCAGTCTGTCATTCCAACAATCCATTTCAAGTATGTTGTGTGTATGTATGTGTGTGTGTGTGTGTGTGTGTGTGTTCGGGGAAGGGGACAGTCTTAGCCCAATCTGGGAGAAGGACAGGAAGGGAGAGGGAAAAATTAGGAATCAGTCAATAAACCAAAAGAATAATATAAGCTTTTTTGGTTGTAGTTCCACAGCTGGTACAATGGATCACCCAGACACTGAGTTCAAATAAATGGTGCTTTTCAAAAAACAAAAACAAAAACATATTCTGATATCCTCCATGTAGAATCAGTTCTCAAGGAAAAGCTACTGGCAAGAAGGTTAAAGGCAATAAATAACAAAGTTGTCTAGGATCTCAAAGGGCACTGATAAAGTCTTCAACCTGCCTTTATATCCTCTTTGCCCAAAAGCACCCATAGCTGGGCCCCAGATTCATCTACCAGGAGGTAAAATTAAGTTAAACTGCCCCTTTATTCAAAATAGTCTTGGCTAATGTTATGGGAGTGTAGGAATTATTTTAAAAGTCCCCAGTTCCATTTGTATCTTGGCCTATTACAGTTCTGCATATGCCATCTATTCTGGCCATCTTGCCAGAGCCATGTTATCACCCCTCTATCTGGTTTAGCACCTCCACACCAGATGTCATGGGAAAAAAAAAAGAGAATTTAATGTGCAGTTTAGGGACTCTAATCAGAGGCAGTTAGGTGGCTCAGTGAATAGAGTACTGGGTCTGGAGTAAGGAAGACCTGGGTTCAAATCCAGCTTC